ACAGGCAGAGGTTTGCTTATTCATTCCCTCTTATTCTCTCAAACAGAGCAGAACAGAAACCACACATACAGTTACTGTGACAAAAGTAAGCACCTTTGCATGTGCTCTCTCACAAACGGTGGCATCGCTCTCTAAACCTGTTCAGCTGGTCAGGATGAGAGCCAACATCTGCAACGTCTAATATTCCAGCCTGATCTTTATGAAATAAATAAGTAAATAGATAAATTAAAAAAATAATCACGTTTAGAAAAATTCACCACAACTAGCAATAAACGAAACAAAACCAACCTTAAAATAAATAATACATTAGAGAAAAAGTTGGTCTTGGTGCTCAGAGAACTTACTAGACAGAACATATGAAGACATGCACTCAGGCTTATTTCCCTCAAACGTCATAAGACTCATTTCCCACCGCAGCTTAAACTCACATACATTTAGACCACCATCTAGCAGCAGAATCCCACCCTAAGTAAACCTATCCAGCTTCCTGTATCTCATCACAGAGCACTGGGCCAAACTGCTGAATCCAGTCTACATTACAGTCGAGCATAGCTGATGTCTCTGAGGCACAGTGTCCCACGCCGCAGCGGCACGTCTGAAAGTCCTCTGGGTTTAAAGCGATCGTCTCCATCTCAGCGCAGACTGGCGCTGTGGCAGACCTGGCCCATAAGGACAGACAGCCACATGCTAGGCTACTCAGCCACTGTGCTGTCCTTGCAGCGAGAGAGAGAGGGAGTCGCAGTAGCCCGCAATAGAGATCAGGTTGCTCTGTGATGACGGGGGGGGGGTGGATCGAGGAGAGAGAAAGGGAGAGAAAAGAGGAGAGTAGGATGAAGGGAGGGATGCAGAGTTGCAGGGTGATGTGGCACAGAATGATAACGCAGTGCCAGGCCAGAGAGAGAGAGAGAGAGAGAGAGAGAGAGAGAGAGAGAGAGAGAGAGAGAGAGCGCAAAAGATATAAGAAATAAATAATATACAGAATAAAATCAGAAGTAGAGAAAATAGGAAGAAAGAAAAAGAACAAAACAGAGGGAGGGAGAAAGACAAAAGTAACAGAGAAGCACTTCGAGGAGAGAGAGAGAGAGAGAGAGAGAGAAAATGAATAAGAATGACAGCAAGAAAGTATGACAAAAAAGCAAGGTAAAAAAGGAGAGAATGAATAAGAATGAAAGCAAGAAAGAGAATGACACTAAAAATAAAAAAGCAAGGTAAAAAAAAGAAAAGACTGAAAGAAAATACAGAAAAATAAAGGAAAGAGAGAACGAATGAGAGTGAAAGCAAGAAAGAGAACGACAGAAAAAATAAAATGAGGTAAAAAAAGAAGATAGATTGAATAAGAGTTAAAGAAAGGAGAAAAAGGAATAGTGAGAGAGAGAGAGAGAAAATGAAAAAGAATGAAAGCAAGAAAAAGAATGACAGTAAAAAATAAAAAAGTGAGGTAAAAAAGAAAGAAGAGAATAAATAAGAGTGAAAGAAAAGAGAAAAATAAAGGAAAAGGGCAAAAGAACACAGAGAGAGAGAGAGAGAGAGAGAGAGAGAGAGAGAGAGAGAGAGAGAGAGAGAGAATAAGATTGAAAGCAAGAAAGGGAGCGAGGTAAAAAAGAACAGAATGAATGAGTTTATGCAAAAAAGAAAAATAATAGAAAAAGGAAAAAGAACAGAGAGAGAATGAGTGAGAGAAAAATAAAGGAAAAATGAAAAAAGAAAGTGAATAAGAGTGAAAGAAAAAGGAAAAGGGAAAAAGAGAAGGGGAGAGGAGAGAGAGAGAGAGAGAGAGAGAGAGAGAGAGAGAGAGAGAGAGAGACAGAGGAGGGGCAGAGAGCGACGTGGTAGTGTATATATTATATATAAATTTTATTTGCAAAATAAAATTCTGTAAATTTACATACATCCAGATGTTTAGTAACACCGTTTACGGTGTGGGAGTTGTTACGCAGCTAGCCATTGTTTCTCATCAGTTGTGATAGCCACCCATGATAGCAAGGCAATATAATGAGTCAAGTCGAAAATGTAATAAAATTTCAATTTGGTACCCTGAGATTAGAGCAGAAATGAGAGATTAAACATTTGGGACCAAACATCCAAAGGATTTCAACATCATTCAGTCTGGAAAGGACAAAAACTGATCATTCAATCCAGAGAGGGTCAAGAGAAAAACATGGCTAACTGAGTGCAGCTACTGCCCCTAGAGTTTACTGTGTCCCACCAGGCTTTCTGTGCCAGAGACGCCACTGCTGCTTTTCATCTCAGGTGATGAACGACTCACTCTCAGTCCGTCTGGAGCTCGAGAGTCTCTTCTGAGCGGCACAGCATCAACTTAAATAAGTAACATGAGGGGGGAAAAAAGAAAGAAAAAAAAAGTGCTGAACACTCACTTTCATTTCGCATGCAAGTCTGTGGAGCAGCAACTGCAGCGGTGACACTGCAGCTAAACACACACACACACACACACACACACTCACAAACACACCCCTCATAAATACAACATGAAGTAACCAGCCGCCCCTCCCCCACCCCAGACTCCATCACACAAACAGGGTGAACACAAACACTGGCTTTTAGCCATGAAATTTATAAAATCAATAAAGCAGCAAAAAAATCTAATTATTAGTATTTGATCTTTTTAAAGGTAACATTAATGAAGCCATGATTCCTGAGAGCTGCTGCTCTGAGGAACATCTTACATGATCTCACTAGTTTCAACAGAACTTCTTTTTTCAAAAAAGACACCAACGGGAATCTTGCACAGTACCGTAAACATTAAGCACATGTACAGAAATGAACACATTATTTATGAATAATTTTACACATTATTAATCAACACCGCTAATTAAAGTCATTAAGGCCAGTCACACTAGTAATGCCCTTACCCTCTGTATTAATGCAGCCTGAAGCTGCAGGGTGCTGTAGGGCGCAGGGCGATCTCATTCAAATACAGCTTTGAAAAGGTTTTTATAGCAACACCTCCAGCATTTACACTGGACAGTGCTTTCAGGAAACCCGTGGATACATCAAGGAGCAGAAAGACAACAAAAACAACAGCAAAGTGGAAATCTACAGTTCCCCTCGAGAGCATCCACTCTAACAAGAATCCACAAGCTGTATGAACGAGACAGACAGACAGACAGACAGAGAGACACAGAGACAGAGAGAGAGAGAGAGAGAGAGAGAGAGAGAGAGAGAGAGAGAGAGAGAGAGAAAAAGAAAGAAAAAGAGAGAGAAAGAGAAAAGAAAGAGATAAAAGAAAAAGAGAAAGAAAGAAAAAGAGAATGAATAAGAGCGAAAGACAAGAGAAAAATAAAGGAAAAATGAGAGAGAAAGAGAAGAGTGAAAGCAAGAAAGAATGATAAGCGAGGTAAAATGGAGAGAGAATGAATAAAAGTGAAAGACAAGAAAAGGGAAAGGACAGAGAGAGACAAAGAAAGAGAAAGAATAAGATTGAAAGCAAGAAAGAGAATGACAGTAAAAATAAAAAAGCAAGGTAAAAAAACAGTGAATGAAAAACAGACAGACTTCAATCACAGAAGAGTTGAACCAGTGAGCGTGTGTGATATACAGTAAGGTTTTGGGTACCTGAGAAAATTAGAATTAAAATCTATTAATCCAGGCAGTAAACTTAAATTAGAATACACCAAAATACAAAACTGTATATATATATATATATATATATATATATATATATATATATATATATATATATATATATATATATATATATATATATATATATATATAGGAGTCTGGATGGCAGCATATGTTGCCAAAACATGTATATATCTCTCAGCATTAACGGTGTCTTCACAGATGTGCACATTACCCATGCCATGAGCACTAATGCCCCCCTACACCATCATGAATACTGGCCCTTGAACATCTTAAATGAGCTCGGGCCCTGAGAAGGTGGCAGCATTTCTGGATTCTGTTAATTTATGGTTTCTTCTTTGCGTTTTAGAGTTTTAACTTGCATTTGTGGATGCAGCATCAAACTGTTTTCACAGACAGTGGTTTTCAGAAGTGTTTCTGAGCCCATGCAGTGATTTCCACTAGAGAAGCATGTCTGTTTTTAATGCAGTGCTGTCTGAGGGCCCAAAGATCACGGCCAGCAAATACTGGTAAAACTTTTGCTTTTCATTTTATGTTGAAAAATGTTATTTCTTAAATTGTTGCACTATTTGCTCATGCAGTCTTTCAGAGTGGTGAACCCCTCCCCATCTTTACTTCTGAAAGACTCAGCCTCTCTGGGATTCATATATATTTAAATAAATAAATAAATAAATAAAAAATCAAATCAAATTTCTCAGTTTCAACATTTGATATGTTGTCTTTCTACTATTTTCAATGAAATATAGGGTTTAAACGATTTGCTTGTTTTTATTTACATTTTGCACAGCCTCACAACTTTTTTGGAAATGGGGCTGTATAATGGAAAACTATTTTTTTTTTTCATTATAACACCTATTAATCAGAACATAGCATTATTTCTTGAGTGTGTAAAGCCCACTCCCAATAACAAAGTAAATTGAGAGTGGTCTACAATACGTTTTGGAATGAAATAACTTTGGAATATGAAATATTATTTGGAATGAGACATTTTTTCAGTGCATCCAGTCAGAAACAACTGTTACCTCTCATTGGTGTGTCAGGATGTACTATAAGAATCCTATTAGACACCAATCTGCTGATGAAATACAAGACCCATATTACGTATTATGATTGCAAACCAAAGTGTTGTCAAAATGCATGTATTCAGCGGTAGGACACCACTGTTCCAGCAACACGCTCACAGTCACACACCCAAGCCCTGTCAGCAGATGGCACTGTGCATGTGTGTGTGCACACCACATGGATATTTTTGGAGTCAGGCTTGGTGGTGGTAAAAATGTGCAGCAATATTTTTCAGTCTTTTGGCAATGAACAGTACAGGAGTAAGCAGGGCAGACTGGTTTGTGCTTAATAAGTTTAGTCCGGTACAGTGGTTGTAGAGCGGAGGCAAGACTTACACTGAACTGTGGGGTGACGTGTGACGTGCTGCCTCCATACTGCTCTCTGAAACAGTCACTGAAGGGCAGGAGGAGACCCATCGCCAAAATACGAGAGCAGAGCTTCTCCGCTTCTTCTTCCGACTCAGACTTCTCCTGCTGCTGGAAGAACCTCTCCAGGAGAGTACGACCTGTAGAGAGACAGAGAGAGAGATGAAAAAGGGCTTTGATACAAAGCAGCTTTACAAAAAAAGGACAGAGAAATAAATACATACAGAACAAGAGTAAAGTCAAAGTTTATTTATATGGCGCTTTTTACAAGGCACTGTCACAAAGCAGCTTTACAGAAAAACCTGGGTCCGAGCCCCCACAAGCATCGCCAATGGCAACGATGGCAAGAAAAAAAACTCCCAGGAAGACGAAACCTTGAGCGGAACCATGACTCAAAAGGGGACACCATCCTTTAACCCTGGAGATTGGCTTGCAGACTGCTGGTCACCATAGCAACACAGACAACAATCTTGCCTAGCCAGTAGCTAACGAAAAGGCAAAGAGAAAGATTTAAGACTGACATAGATAATTTAGAGACAAATGGACTTATTTGCATTTATAATCACTCCAGTTGGTTTCCTGATATGTTTAATCTGCAACAAGAAACTGTCAAACACTAAAAATTTGCAAAGCTGAAGTCAACTTCTCGTTCGCCAGGTTCTCGTTCTGATTTTCAGGTTCCATCTTAAATAGTGCAAAACTTAGCGAAATAGCTAGCTACGTTCTGGTGCCTCAGGCACCATTTAAGGTAGAACTGGAAAATTTTAACAAGAAGCTGGTGAATGGGAATCTGGCTTCAGCCTCGTAAGAAGTCAAACGTCGAGAGACGTTTTTACAAGAAACTGTTTTACTTTTGAGTAAGAAAGAGAGACAGACAGAGAGGGAGAAAGAGACACAAAAACATTTTTCTATTTTTAGCAAATATGTATTTTTTGAACGTCTGAACATTTACAAGCTGTTTAACAGTAAATCTCTAATTGTCTCTCAGTTCTTTTCACAAAACCGAAATTATCGCCTTGTACACATCACCATCGGGTCACTTGTCAAAGATATGATTACATTGAAAATAAAATGACTTCAACAAGACAGAAGGACCAGCCTCAGTGTGTGAGAGCATGTTCTCTAATCTCCAAACTGCAGACACAGTGGGGTTTTTAAACACTGTCAGCTCATCTGAAATGAGTCATCCTGCCGCAGTAAGATTCACTCCCTCATCCCCACTTTCACCCACTCTGTAATTCTTTCTCTCTTTCCTCCTCATGTCCATCCACAGCGTTTCTAATTGTAACTCACTTTAATTGAGGGTAGGATTCACTGCTTTACATGTCTCTGTCTGTCTGTCTGTCTCTCACACATCCACACACGTGCTAAAACAGGCTCTAAAATAAGCACCACACTGTCATTACCATCCAGTTTGGCAGGGAGATAGTTTGCACTTCCTTTAAAAAGCCCATATTAATGAGAACTGAATTTGTCTTAATTAATAATTAAATAAATAAATAAATAAATAAATAAGTAAATAAAAAGTCCGATAGTACATTTCAGCATCATGCCATCACCTCAATCAGACCACTGCAATTACATTATCCAATAAAGACAGTGTGTTTAATTACTCCCTTTCCTCTTATGATTAACACTTAACTGACCCTTTCTTACAAAACAGTACTACACATCAGATTTGGGTCATATGTTGATCTGAAAGGGACTCTTAACTGATGAGCTTGGCTGACTCAGATGTGTGACTTGAGACTCACAAAGTAAAACAAAAACAAACAACACTGATTAAATCAGTACTGCCAAACTTAATGTGGAAATTCAGTTTTGCCATTCAGTTTTACTACCGTCATGCGCAATGGTAAGGGGTTGGGAGCACTGCATTATGGGTGTTGTAGTAAATTTACATTATCAGTCACTCACCGTAGTCACTGCCATGACACAAAATGCTATCTTTTTCTCATTGGCACTCGTTTTATTGTCTAAAAGGTAAAATATTTTCAAGAATGCCAAATAAGTACTTCAACATTCCAGGTTCAAGGTGGCCTCAAATAAACTTACTATAGAAAAAAAGACTGAACAAAGTGCTACATGTAGTAAATGTCGTGATTAAAGAAAACTGGGTAAAGCTAGCAGTAGCTAATCTAGCTTTAGTCGCTTAATCTAGCCTAAAGTTTAATCAATTAGACCATATTCAGTTACAGACTAACCAACAGCTTCAAGTTATGTCCCTTTATTTTAAGCACTATGTAGAGGTTCAGTTCTGTTCTGCAGGATGAAGGTTTTTCTGTAAAGTAAGGCTCGACATTCAAAGCTGTATGAACAAGATACACACACCAACAGCTGCAAAATAAAATAACACAAAAAAAGAAATTATTTTTATATATATATATATATATATATATATATATATATATATATATATATATGAAAATGCTCTTAGGGATCCTCACCCTTTGCAATACATAAGCATAGCCAATTCTCTCTGGATTCAGACCAGGCCGACAAATAACAAGAGGCTAAGTGTCCTCAGGTTATACTGTGTACTTACACAGACTGTTGCAGCCAGTAATTTTATTGCAAGCCAATATGGCCTTACAGTAAATTTTCCACATCAGAATCCATTTGTCAGCAGATCTTATGAGTTTTAAAGTGTCTGAATACTTTTGTAAGGCAATGTATCTTGTAAACCAATATGAAAACAAAAGCAGCACTAATCACAGTAAATGTCATGCATACTGCTACACAGTTCTCAAACCTTTCGAACTGCGACTTTGGGATTCCTGAGCCCTTCAACACAGCCCTTCAAAAAGCACAGAAGAACTTGGCATTGCTGACAAGTAAACGAAACAACTTCAACCTGGCTTTAATTCTGAATGAAGGAGCGTGTTTATAAGTCGAATAAAGATAGTAGGCAGAAATACATTCACGTTAGGGGTAACTGAAGGGTTTGCTTGAAGTGGCAGACCTTTCCTGACAAACGTGGACATCTTGAAGCACAGAGAGAAAATGCTCTGGTAATGCAGATAGGAGTAACAGGTTGTGGGAGTTAGATGTTGGGCTCACTGCAAGATGCTTACTCACACGGACAGAGACTCAGTGTGCAAGCAGCATCTTCATCCACTCAGCTATTAATTTTAACTTATGGTGATACAATATCACTGGTGTGGGAGATTTTATGGGGAAGCCAACAATAAAACAGACTGTGTTGTTCATGTGGCAATCATCCTGAGACGCCCCTCAAATTTATCCAGCACAATTTTAAAATGTGTGTAAGTATAGCCACGCAAAACTGAGTGAAAAGCAGCTGAACTTTGAGAAGCAGACACTCTGACCTCTTTAAAACATTCACTAATTAACGCCACCAGACTAGCCTACTGAGTGTCAATCTCATGAGCAGTGTCCATTAGTATAGACTGGTCCAGCACACATGCACACAGTCTGACGGTCAACTTGTATCTCTCTCAGCACAGTCCTAATTTAATTAGTACCACTCCATTGGCTTCATTAGTCAATATTAGTTTAACCCCAGGCAGTCTAGCGTAACAGCTTCCACTCAACACACACAAATACACACAGACTTTTACTGCAAAGTGTGCTACATTTGTAGTAATACGGGAATTATGCAGATCCCGCATATCTGCTAATGCTGATACAAACATTCATAAAATGGAGAAACTGGGACATTTAGCTGGATCAGCATTACAGAAATATCAGTCAAATCTAAACATCTAATGCCTTGTTTAATACATATCTGCTGAAACAGATATTATTCAGCATCACTAAATATTTGTTTCAATTTCTGTTAAATATCAAACACACACATACAACTGGTTACTTATGCACCACCAGAGAAGAGGTGCTACATTTACATGTTCATGTGAGCAACAGGGGAACCTAGAACATTTCAGACAAGTATATTAAGAATAATAAACTGGGCTTAAACAAGATGAACTTGTCATAAATTACTGTTCTCAAAACTAAGCATCCATCAGAGCAACTACAAAACAACACAACACTTATTTGACCACACAGTAGAGCTGGTATTAGCAGCAACTTCATTATACAATACTAAGAATGCACTGAAATTTCGAATACCGAAACACATATTTACACATACGCATCTATTCGGATTGCATCAGGGCAGCCCCACCCATCCACACTAACGCAATAAGGAGCGTTTCAGTATGGATGCGTTATGAGTGAAGTACAATACATAACAGGCCAATTAGAGCAAATGCCTAAGCCATGCCAAAAGATAGAGAGAACGAAACGGTCAAATGAAAATTCATTTTGACTGTTTTCAGTACATAAATCCACATCAATTATGGAAGTGGACCTTTAAAAAAATAAAAAAAAGTAAAAAAACGGATTAAAAAGACGAATGTCAAACTATCCTACTGTTCACAAAACTTAGCATCCATCAGAACAACTACAGAACACAACACTTATTTCACCCTACAGTAGAGCCGGATTTAGCAACAACTGCATGATGGAATATTAAGAATGCACTGAAATTTTAAACACAAACATTTTGGCCAAAAAATAGTCAGAAGTGGCACTTTTGGTTTTTGGAACGAGAAGGGAAAAAAAGTTCAAGTAGGACTACGGTGACATTAAAATCTAAAAGCTAGCACAAATCATTTGAATGGTAATAAAAATAAGAAAGTCTTTAAATATGCTGTTTGTTGCCTTCTTGAGCTGATCAGCACAGACATATTCAAACAGCGACAGCAGACTAGCTGTGTGTGTGTGTGTATTGTCATTCTCTGAGGTTGAGGACAAAGAACTGTGAGGGCACATTCAGCAAACTAATAGTTTATGTTTACTCACAAACTGTTTTACTGTCAGCTCAGGGTTTATTTTACTAAAAGTAGATTTAACCAATAAAAGTTAATTTCAGTTGAAAACGAAATTTCAGTTTTGACCAGGAATTTTCATTTCAGCTCATCACGATCCATTTCACCTTGTGATATAAAATTCACAGCATCACACATCCAACATAACTGAGCTTTTCTTAGCTGTTAAATAGGGCTCCGATCCCTGTGATCTTCAGGACGGTCCTAAGTCCTAAGGTTTGTCGCTGCCATATTTTACCCGAGCACCGCCGTAGATGCATGGCTTCCTCTAATGCATTTACAAATAA